CTTTCCCTTTAGCAATAGGCTGAGAACCTGTTTCTCTACCATCTCACTCTGATAAAAATCTCAACATCCAACCTTCTAATCAGTACTAGTGCACTGATTTATCAGAGCGGGATCTCACTGGAGCTGCTCCCAGCTCTTGTTGAGTTCCTACAGCCACTTCAGAGCAGATAGCTTCACACCACACAAAGTTATCATTGATCTCAACTCTGTAGAAGCCGCTGCTTCGCACAGAGGTGTGGTGTCTCCCAGTCCACTCAGTGATGATATCTTGCCCCAGCAGAAGCAATAGCTCAGGGCTTCCTCTGGGTTCTTGGTGCTTGGAGCAAAGGGAGTCTCAGAGGACAGCAGTCTCCAAGCCTTCCTGAGCCAAAAACATAGTCCAGTGCTCCACTGCAGTAAGAGCAGGTAATCTGCAGACCCACAACTGAAACTGAGTGTTTATGTATTTCTTGAAAACAAGTTTTATCCAAGAAGGCACTTAAAGAAAGAATATAGAGAATCGCCATCTCCATATGAGAAGAGCTGGACTCATTTCATAGACTTTAGAACTATTTTACGGACACCCTGCTATGTCAATAAGGGATTGAAAGTTTTCATAGATTTTAAAAGATTTATAGCTGCATGGAAAGCTGCCATGCAGAAAAGGACCTGGGGGTGTTGGTGGACAGCAGGATGACCATGAGCCAGCAATGTGCCCTTGCGGCCAAGAAGGCCAATGGCATCCTGGGGTGTATCAGAAGGGGTGGTTGTAGGTCAGAGAGGTTCTCCTTCCCCTCTACTCTGCCCTGGTGAGACCGCATCTGGAATATTGTGTCCAGTTCTGGGCCCCTCAGTTCAAGAAGGACAGGAACTGCTTGAAAGAGTCCAGCACAGAGCCACAAAGATGATGGAGGGAGTGGAGCATCTCCCTTATGAGGAGTGGCTGAGGGAGCTGGGTGTCTTTAGCTTAGAAAAGAGGAGACTAAGGGGTGACCTCATTCATGTTTATAAACTTGTAAAGGGCGAGTGTCAGGAGGAAGGAACCAGACTCTTCTCAGTGATGTCCAATGACAGGACAAGGAGCAATGGGTGCAAGCTGGAGCATAGGAGGTTAAACCTGAACATGAGGACAAACTTTTTTACTGTAAGGGTTACAGAGCACTGAACAGGCTGCCCAGAGAGGTTGTGGAGTCTCCTTCTCTGCAGACATTCAAAACCCGCCTGGACGTGTTCCTGTGCGACCTGGTCTGGATGATCCTGCTCTTGCAGGGGGATTGGACTGGATGATCTTTTGAGGTCTCTTCCAACTCCTAATATTCTGTGATTCTGTGATAACTGGATAGGAAGAGACTGGAGACACTGAGAGCCAGCCCTTAAGTGACTGATTTAAATGGCACTGCTTATTTTATTCATCAGCCATAGCAATAATTTATGGTTGACATTGTTGCAGGACTATCTTTTGACCTATATCCTTTGACATATCCTTTATTCCTGGTATCATTGTTTCTCAGAGCTTTTTGCTGATCATGTGGACTGCAAAAAGACACTTACATTGAGTGCTACTGCAGAATAAGTCCATTGTCTCAGAGATCTTATCTTTTTTGTCAAAGGCAAAAGAGTTGGAACATGTGAGAAAGAACAGTTGCTTGAGGGTAAACAACAAAGGTCTCGGCAGCAAAGAGATATGTAAGGAAAAAAGGGGGCTCTGCAGGCACTGGCTCAGGTGAACACTGATCATCAACAAGTCCCAGAGAAGACATAGTAGAAATGCGGGGGACTTGTTACCTGTTGGGATAAAGCTTCTGGTGAGTAACTCAGCACTGAAAGCAGTCTGGATAAAACCTCTTAGCAGAGAGAATACACTTGTAAAACAACAGACTTTACAGAAAACAGTCTCCCAAGGAAAATTTGGAAAATATATTAATAACTTGAATTACTCAACTGAGGAAAATGTTACATTTTGAAACTGTCAGTATCTTGGGGTTTTTTCACAATTATTTTGCTGGTTAGTTTGCTAAGGAAATTCCTCATTTACTGCTGAATATCCCTCAGAGGGTAGCTAGTAGCACTAACTAACATGTGTGAACGCTGTAGCCATTATAACTCATGCCAAAATCCAGCATGCCCAGTAACTCAGCAATTACTTTGTAGTAGGATCGACAACTTTCCCCATGAAAAGCATGGTGCTGGTTTCTTTGTCAAAAATCAGTGTCAGGAAGGGCCTGTTGAATTTGATGGTAATGGAAGGACGGAGAAGTCTGGTAAGGATGATGGCAGTTGTTCCTGCGGCCTCAGTTCCTGCCTCATTGACTTCCAGCAGGGCCTTGTGAATTGCCTGCAGAGAAAAGGAGCAAATTGTGTGGTCTATACACGGGACAGCAAGCAGGGGGTGAAGATGCACACTCTTATTACAGAATATTTAGGCAAAGAAAGGACTGATAAAACCCAATGGACCTGACATTCTTATATGGTAGATCTCCAACAGCCTGCAACAGGAGTGTTTTCCATGTCAAGACTGAACTGGGAGGGCCAGAAATATAAATGGGCACACTGTAAATGCAGCCTCATCAGTGCTAAGTAGAGGGGGATAACAACAGTCCATACACGGCTGGTATATTTTCTTAGATGGTTTGGACTTCCACTAGCAACACTTTCTGTGTTATTCCAAGGTTAATGGAAGACTGCTATTTAAATACTATCATAGGGGCGGTATTTGGCATCTCTGACACATATATATAACTGACATGGTAAAACTCTGCTCCTGCAAACTGGAAGCTTCCTGGAAACTTTGAGAATATTAAAAAATTAAGTACTACTCAACACAAATATCAGAATATACTCCTCACTTATACTTGAAAAAATTACATGTAAACAATCATATTGCAGTGTGAAGTAATCATTTAAAATCCTGTCCAACTTATCCATGTACTTAATATCCTGCCTTTTAATACAAAGGTGGGACAGCAGACCCTCTCTGTAGAAAAGCACAACTACAATGCAGGCTCCTACATATCACTGTGAGTTTTACTTATAGCTTCAGTTGGCCAAGGAGGGAAAGGAAGCCTTTAAAAATCCCATATATAATTGATTAGAGCAACCAACTGCCACCCCATCACCTCTGTCTGTTCACTTACTTGTGAAACCCGAAGATTACGACTGCCACTAATTCCAGACAGATCAGCATTGCCAGAGAACACTTCAGTAATGCCCATTTCCTTGAAGAGGTTTTCAACATCGTAAGACCCACTAATAGAAATCTTTGGTAACTGCAGATTTAATCTCCTGTTGAACAAAGAAAATGAAACAGTGGTGAAGCATTATGGCTTGTGTCATCCAGCAGGCAGGTTAGTACACAATTCAGGGACACTTGAAAGCATTCTTTTGATTGCTAGTGTGTTTGATGGTAGCACTCATAGTCCTGAGCAATTTTTGGCATCCAGCGATATACGCCACCTTCTTGTACCTACTTTTTCTCTTTGGTTTTGGAAAAAAGCATCACCCTCATTTCTTCATTGTCACTCTTGCATCCAAGTGCCAAGACATGCACATCTAGCAGAGTTTTCTGGCTATACAGCTACAGAGAGTAAGCAGACCAGCTGTAGAAAAACTAAAAGAAAGGTATAGGAGGATAAAATCTAAGACACAGTGAAGGAAATTGATTATGTTAGTAGCATGAAAGATGTATGGTAGCCCAAAGGTAGCCATGTAAGCCTTGCAGCAGTTGTTACAATGCTGAGTCCCCTTCTGTCAAGTCAGAGAGCCTGTAGTTGCTTATCAGCTCTGCTCTGCTCTGACTCATCTTCAGAATCACTTAAACACCCATTTTATGAACTCAGGACATCATATCCAGGAGAAGTAGATCTGAAATTAAAGCTTTATCTTAAAAATAATGTGTCCTCAAATATAGGAACCCATCTACCTAGAGTTACCTGGTCACAAGGCTGTTATCCCATTTACAAAGAGTTTCCTTGGAGAGAGCATCTTCCACTTGCTTCATCTGTCCATCATCGGGCAGAATGAGCAATGCTCGTGCAGTGCCCTGGTACGGCAGCTCTACCACCTCACAGGAGAGATCCTGGTCATAGAAACTGCCGTAGTTACTGTCACGCTGCATCATGTTGACTCTAACAGATGTGTTTGTGTTCACAAAGAAATCATCCTCATACGTACGCAAGGGATCAAAAGGCTTTTCCCAGGCAGCTAATGGGGGAAAAGAGAAGATGCATTCAAATGTGTGAAGATTATAAACAATATTTGATATTAATCAGATCAACCTAAATGTTTGAAAGCTGGAGGGCCATTTATGGGAGAAAAGGATCACTAAATCACTTCAACCTCCTGCATATCACAATAAAGCACTCAAGGTGTCCAGTAAGTTCAGCGTAGTCAGTGAGAGCAAGTCTTTTGTCTTGCTGAAAAACAACCAAAGGTTGATGAAGACCAATTGAGAGAGTACTGCTTCTATTGTGGCCATATGATCCCATCACTTGTGCCTTTTATATCATTTAAATTCAACCCCTTAAACATTCAGCCATAGGACCTTGTTATGCCTTTCCTGTTAGGCCATACCTGATGCAAGGTGATGGCACTCACCCTGGTGAGGAATTCCTCAACAAAATAAGGGATCCTGACATTCCAGCAGGGCTCCAGAAGCACAGCTCCTCAAAATGCCGAATCCCAAGTTCTCATGCAGCATACCTAGTAGATCTACCATAACACCGGGGGCCCTGGAAGTGCAAGGATGTCAGTCCACTAAAAGCTTGGCTGGCACATGCACTCACACAGGGATCTTAGAAACATCCTTAGTCGTTATGCTCTTGGACCAATGAGGCTGCATGCACTGGGCCCCTGGCTATGAGGCGCTTGACTAGAGTGGGACTTCTCTATCCTCAGCTTTTAAGCAAACTGGGCCAAAATCAAGCAATCAATATTTCTCAGCAATCAGATACCCTGCTTTTGGCCAGATCTAATCTTTACTTTGAAGATCCTGCACTGTTTAGCTCTTTCTCAAACAGTTCTAAATACTCACTCTGTTAATAAACCATCAAGAGCTCCCTACAATTTTGGTTTTGTATCAAAATAATGTATTGGAATATTATGTTAAATATCTTACCTTTAAAATAAATGTAGTTAACAAGAACCAATACAGTACTTGGATCAAGATGACCAATTAATTCAGGAATTTTTCCCTTAGTTTTCTCCTCTACATATTTATTGATTTGCCTCTTAGCTTCTTCTGGTTTATGGAAATCACTAGAAAAAAATTCTGCATCATAATATTGTCTGGTATTTTGTAAAAATGTCTCCTGTGGTTCATACCCAAGAGCTGTAAAAAGGGCATTCCCTATATTTAATGTGATGTTAACATGAGCACAGTTTAGTACTGCTAAAACTTTATGAAAACTTTCATGTATATCATGTGTGCGAGTCTCAGTCAGACTGTTAAAGCCCAGTCCTTCAAAAAGCTCAGACAGAGTGGTTGACTTGGCACCAAGAGCCAGCATGGCAAAAGCAGTTGAGATGCTCATGGGAGAAAAGAAAACATTTTTATCAGCTTCTTTTGCTATAGCCTGCTTGTAAAATCTAAATGCAAAATCTGCATAGTTAGAGCCTTGCTTGTAACAGTTATGTGTTAATAAATTTTCTGTTCCATCACGGAGATTCGTATTATTGACTTCGTGGCAAATGGCTTCATGATGGCAATGGGTTACGCAAAGAACAGCAAGGAGTAAACACAGGCACGGGAGATACTTCATCTTCTTTTTGAATTATTCTGTCACAAAATAAACAGTCATTAGATGAGCAGATGGTAATGATGAGCTTGGTAGTAAGAAATAATGAATAGTTTGTTAGCATAAATATTATGCAGTGCAACTGTAAATATCTAATGTACATAGGATATTTATAGTGACCCTGGACGCAATGTCAAATGTCATTAATAAATTCAACCAAATTCTAAATTGAAATATGAGGCATAATAAAATCACAATTTTGCATTGCAACTGCCATTAAAAGGCAATTTTCTTTATTTGCAGTGAAAGCATAGAGCCAAAGTCCATAATAATCTCTATTAACAATGCCATTATCTTCCCTGGATCATTGTTTCCTATGGGGCACATTTAAACAAACAAGTTACCATGAGGTAAGAGAGGGTGTGGGTTTCAAAGGCATCAAATACTTCACAGTACCTGCCCAATCGCAGGGTAATGTGAGTAATGTGAGGAAATGTGAGGCAGCTCACTTCTCACTGGAAGTGGGATACATTCCTTCACTTTCATCAGGGCAGCCGCACATGGACAGACAGTTATCATGGACTATCTGGTGCTTCTTAAATTTACACCCCTGTTTACTTCATGGTTACTTACTCACATGGCCAGTCATTGGCCACAGCTGAAAACTGATGGATGAAAGTCATCTACAAAAACTTCAAGGCAAAAGCCTGGAGCATCCTATATGCCATGGTAGCTGGGGGCACAAAAGTGGTTATAAAGATGCGTGGGCAGAAGCAGGTTTGCACCAGATGATGAGGTGCACGTTTGGAATGAAGGAACCCACCTTTTGGGGGCTGCAACAAATGTTTGCAACTTGTTAAATGGTGGTTTGCCCCTCGTCATGGGTTAACCTGTATGGGATGTGTGGCTCCTTCTAGAGACACAGGAAGGACCTGGGCCCAAGAGGAAAAGAGGAGCACAGATCCCATTTGAGAATCAAAGGACTCTCAGATTAATCCCTTTGGAGATGATGGGTTTCTTCGTTATACATGTACTCCTAATGCTGACATGATACACTTCACATGGGCCTCCTGCCCTCAATAGGAACTGGAAGAAGTCTCTAGTTTACTGAATTCAGTTCCTTGCTGTTCTAGGGAGGCATCTCATATAAACCCTCTTCAGAAACGTAACAAGCTATCTATGAAAATAAGCTGTTTGCTCTCACAACTTCTACATGAAAACATTTCCGGAACGTTTCTGCTGTTATGGCTCCTTTTCTTCTGGTTTCATGCCGACACAGCCTATTTGTATGCTATGTATGTATGCTTCCAGCTATGCATTATCCCATGTTCCGCCAAGACAAAGTTCTCTTGGCCTCTATTCATTCCCAGATGTGAAAGAGAACTGTATCTACTATCTAAACAAGATCTAGATAGAGTTTCTGAGGACAGCACAAGGTCCAGGGTTCCTGGTGACTAACCAGTTGCTTTATGTTTTAGTGGTATGGTGGCCTGTCTTGGTTTTATACCAAATGAATACACTAGATGAGAGTTCTCATATTTGCCAGGATCCGAGTATGCTGAGTATGTGTGAGAGCAGTGAAAACTGCTGTGACCTGCAGTAAGAAGGGGGAACACTAAATTTTAATTTCCTTAAAAAAAACCAAAAGATGGAGTATGGCCCTAGATGGGAATATGGTTCAACTACTTGGAACTCTTTAAGCAGAATTCTCGCTCTTTCTCTCAGCCAAAATACAGCCTTTATATACTGCAGACAAATGAAGCAACCATGTAGTACAGAGGGTGTTTTAAAGTACTTGCTGTTTAACATTTCATGGACTATTTTTCTCTAGTTATTTGAGATATTATGCACTTAGTTGAAAAAGAGGACAATTTTTGTCTGTCCATGACCACTTCCTGTGTCCAAACAGAGCTGAGCCTAAATTTCAAAGAATTTCTGAAGAAAAGAGTACATTTTTCTGCAGCAAGCTTATATTAGGCTTGGTTCTGTTTTCAACTTCTACTGTAACAGACCGGTTTAAAAAGTTCTCCTAGTATCGCAACTCTCTACAGAGATATTAAAGAATTATATCTACCAGAAACTGGAAAACACTGAATATTGTTATCAAGTTTTTCCCATGTGCTTTTCACTTTAGAGATTCTAATCACATTAATTTCAACATTTTGTAATTAGAAAATTTCATCCACAAATATTTTTTGTCACCGTTTTTAAGCTGAAGAAACTGGAAAGGCTTTATTGAATCTGGGCTGTGTTTCTTATATGCAAATTGGAAATTCAGAAAATAATTCTCTGCCAAACCACAGATTAGTTTATCCATGGGAATAAAAGGGGTAATTAAATTTAAACTGTGGCCTTCCACCCACCCCCTACACTGACCCCAGTCCTAATTAGAGAGCCTGGCCTTAGCAATACATTAGGTCAACTGAGAGTTTATAAATTGGACCTGGTTGTTCAGTCACTACTGGCATTATGCTAATTTCAAGTCACTGTGAAGGTTGTTTCCAACCTAAAAGGTGATTTCATCAGTATTCTGCTGTAACACCTACTTAATAAGTCCCCATGACTTCAAAGGTTGTTTCATTCTAATTTCATGCTAAGCATATTCCCCCAGAACAGCAGGTCCCACTAGTCTCTCACGTGTTTGCTTTATTAATATTTCACAGCAACATCCACACACAACCAAGTCAGAAGCAGACACATGAAATTAACCTAACACGAAAATCAGAAACCATCATTTGCAAGTCTCCAAGAAAAATGCACATGCAGTACTTACAAAACCAGAAGCCCTGCTGCGTTCATCTGACCATGCTGTTCTCCGCACTGCTACTTATACTGCTACATCATCTTCTGCTTAATTTCCATTGTTAAACATTAAACAGACCTGATAAAAATTAGAGCCAACTGAAAAAAAAGGAGGAAACAAAGCAAATATTGATGAAATAGGATTTCCGAGGATCATCTCTGCAATTCAGCCAATGGAGCTGACAGTCTTCAGCCATTTGAATAGTAGTCGTGACTTTCTGTCTGCTGCCTCTGACCATGTCGGGGAGCTTAGCACAAACATTGTGTAATTAGGACCCTACTGGAAACCAGGAGGTTGTGCCTGGAAGCACTGGAAATGGATGGTAACCTTGGTGCCAGAAGTCAGTCTTTCTGTGCCATGCTGCAGGATGCAAGGAGCTGATGGCCACACATCGCAGTAGCTCAGCGCTCTTCCAAAGTCTGACCACAGCCAAACCTTCCTCCTGATCCTCAGCCTGACTATGAACTCTGAACTAATGGCCTGTACCTTCTCAATCTGACTGTAATTGCACGCCACTGAGGGGTTATGTGACAGACATGTTTCCATGATGGGTTTCCTGCTCTGACTGACGTGGTCCCTTCATACGTCTAAGTTCTGGGTGCATCTGAGTTATTGCCCCAGGCAAGTGGTGGGAATACAAGTTACAAGCTGTTTTTTCTACTCCCACGTGTGCAGTATGTGCACATCCACTTCTCCTTCTCCTTGCTTCTCTTGCACAAACTGCAATTGTTCAAATGAAAAAAAGTACTGCTTGTTTCTCTTAACTTTTTACAATAGGAATAAAATGCTAGTGGACCAACCTGGCCAAATTTTTCCAGTTAACAACAAAGACCATGACTGAGCGGTGACATGAAATAAGTTTCCCCACTTGTGATGACTCTTTTTCCCGTATACTTGTTTACCCACATGTGTAATGTTGTCATTATAAACATAGATAAACATAGAGACAGAATGCAGATAAACCTTGTCTTGACACTCCCCTTCTTTGTTTCCCTCTCTGTTTCTTTTTCCCCTTTCCTTTTTACTTATTCTTTCTAATTCTAGCTGTAAAAGGTCACAAACACAGAGATTATTTTACTCATCAAAGCCTAAGTGAATGACAGGTCATAGTGGTCAAGGACGAACTGTGTTACAAAATGGTTATAAGCCTCTTGTTTTCTTTTTCATTTGTTAGGCCTTGTAATTACTGTTTTGTTTTTAATAATGTTAAGCTACATTTTAACAAGGCATTTCCCTGGCATTTCATTATAGCAGCAGCAATAAGGTGCTAGACCAGCTTTAAACTGCAATGACGAACAGATGCATGCATGCCAGGTACACCACGCACTGACAGCAGCCATTCACAATCCGACATCTCCACTGACCACAGTTACAACTCTCAAACTATGTCATGAAACCACCTTAACCAGATCCAAACTGGACATTCACCTACTGAACTAGGTCTTGCTTCTCTACTCCTTATTTTTAATAGGAATAAAAGTCTAAAATATTAAAATAACCAAACAACTGTGATCTATTACTCCTGAAAATTAAGACCACCATCAGCCAGTCTACATTACCCATGTCTTTTACTGCTGTGTACTTCATGTAGGTCAGTATCTATTCTGCATCCCAACTCACATTTTTACTTCTTTACAAGAAATAAACACATACAATATTTTATGTGTTTACCAACACCTTGCAAACAGCTTCCTGCCAGTTTGTTTTATTTTGAACAAATCATTCTGAAGTAGGTTTTAAGAGATTTTAGTTAACCAATGGATGGTATATTCGATGACAACAGAACCATTCATCTTGTCCAGTGTTTTTGTTATGTTTCCACAACTCAAGTCAGGAAATCATAGCTTTTTGTGTCAATTTAGTGACAGTAATAGCTGCACTGGGATTGTGGCTCACACATAGGTTACTTCAAGTATCAAAAAAATCTTTATCCCTTTGTTATTTATATCATAAGTAACAGAAAGATTTGTAAGTGTAAAGACCACAAAGGCCCTAAGTATATTGACATGGCAGCAATGTGAAGGAAACGGAGTGTTATATTAGAAAGGAAATGGGCATTGGCTTCCTCTTCCTTCCCCCCTGATAGCTTTGAGCTATTTAATTGTCTTTGGGAAGGATCAGACAGTCAGAGTGCAGGGAAAATTGTTAAGATTGAAGATGTAGGCATATCTGCTAAACTATGGTTCTTCCTGTTTGGATGAGGCATATAACAAAGACAAGA